AGCGTCTCTGCACTGCTCGGGTTTGGTCATCCACCTTCGCATCCACTCACACACTCTCTCACACACTCACCCTCTCTCTGGTCCTGCCTGCTGCCATCTTCTATTTCTCATCTGTACTCTTAAGAGAAATTATCTTATACATTCACAAATGCAAATTTCATCCAAGATGTTCTTACATCTTTTGGTTCAGATTCTAAAATAAGAAGCTGTTGTGCCCTTGTGGGTTTGATCCCAGAGGTAACGTAGGGCAGGTAAGGGAGGCAACAGATCAATGTTTCTCTCACATCAATGTTTCTCTCTCTCCCCCACTTTCCCTCTATAAAAAAAGATTCAATAAGCATGTCCTTGGGTGAGAATTAAAAAAAAAAAAGAAGCTGTTTTTTGATTGACAGAATGGGGGCACCTTTCTGAAACATTTAACTTGGAGAGGTAGATCTCCACTGTAACTAGGACTGTTTTTACTATTTCTGCTCCCAGGCATGAAACCCTAATAGCTAACACAAATGTGTGTTATGTTCCAGGTACTAAATCATCACAACACTAAAAAAGTCAGTATTATTTTTATCCTCTTTTTATAGGTGAAGAAATAAAGCTTGCAAAGGTTAAGGAACTTACCCAACGTTTTGACTTTGTTAAATTAACACTTGTTAAGTGGATGGTGAGTCAAAGTTCAAGAACAGACCACAAGAGTAATTGAAATAGAGTAGTTTATTACTCACAGGTCTTGGAGGAAGGAAGTACACAGTATGCCTGGAGGGTTCACATGGGGAGATCAAGACAGAGTGCAGATAGAGGACTGGACCTGGGGCACATGCCTTTATTCAGGTCTCTCTGGATGAGTGCTTTGGGGTTCCCATGCTAGGACCAGAGCAGTCAATTTAAAGTAAAAGAGTGAGGATTTGCTAAGCCCCAGGGGGTCTTATCTAAAGAGCCCATACAGCACACAGGTGATAGGAGTCAGGGGAGAGTGTTGATCACAAGTCACACTTGCTTGTGACTCTGTGTGCTGCTGTCTAGGGCAAGTGTTTGCATGAGAGGCATAGTGTCAAATTAAGGTCCCTGCAAGCCACTTGGAACAAAATGGAAGCTGAAGCAGCAATACCATGGAATAACTTAGCTAAAGTCTCCACACCCAAGGTCACACAGGTATTAAGTGGCAAAGCAGGACTTCAAACTCAGGCAGTGACTATCATTCTTCTCACTATGCTTTATTACCTTTCACTGCTGGAAGCAAAAAAACAGCCATTGAGACATGTCCCAACTGTTGTAATTTCAACCTACTACTCAATGCCTGGAATGTTTTTAAATTTATCATTTTAAAAAACACATTCAAGGCACTTAGTATGCTACCTGACACATTCAATAAACATTATTAATGAATACTTACACGGATTATAACTCTTTTCCTTCTCCTTCTTAAACTATTTTTCCACTCCAATACTCTCTTTCATTAGAGGAAAACTGATCTCACCCTCCCCTCATTCCTCAAAGTCAAGATAGAGACCTTTCTCAAGGTAGCCTCCTCTGCAGTTTAGCACATCACCTTTCCCACATTCATCTAATTATGCCTTGGAGGAAGATTTTTGTACTTTCCTATATAAACCCTTAACTTCAATCCTTCCCAACTCCCTACAAAGAATTTCCACTTACACATCCTGTTATCATTTCCAACCAATCAATGTTCACTCAAGAAGCAATGATTGAACTCTTACTAAGCAATAAATACAGCGAATTCTGTGATGAATAACTCACAGAACTCCTCCTTTCCACTAAGTGTAGTGGAAAATAAAAACTTGTTCACAAATAACACAAAGTACATGCTATCCATAGGACAGTGAACCTTGGCTATGTATCATATAAGACCAGAGGTGGAAGGGGGTGAAAGGAGACCAGGGCACTGTCTGAAGGGACCCAAGGATGAGTGAGAATTAAGGGAGGAAAAGGCCGAATAAGGGGCTCCTGTGGATAGACTGAAGAAAAAAATGAAAATAGGAGCAAGGAAGGTAGAAGGAAGCGAAATGCAAAAGGTCAAAATAAAAATTGGGGTGAAAGATGAAGGGGATTCAGAAAGCAGGTGCGCTTCTCAGATCAAAGGCGCGTCCTCACCCACCCATTCCCTATCCTTGTCCAGGAGGCTAGGCCAAGGCTTGTGGCTCCTGCAGATACTGCAATATGCAATATGTAAGCCTGGAAGGCAAAAGCAAAGGAGGCGCTGCAGCACCGAGATCTGCTCGAGAATGATACCTCGATACCTCGAGTAGAGCAGTAGGGAGGGTTTCTGGTATCTTGGTGGAGGCCACCCAGCTGATGCCCTTGACCATTCTAGTTCTCTGACCAAGAGCTGGGTGGCTTCGCAGCTGCGCTCTAGGCTCTTGGACGAACTGCGACGCTTTCCTCTGGAGCCCAAGGCCTGCCTTCCGCTCCCCTACTGGGCAGCGTGCGCCAAGCACTGGCGCCATTGTTGTTGAGAAAATAGATAACATTTTCCTGAGCCTGGGAACTCACCTGACTCCCAAAACCCGAAGCTGCTCAACCTCCCAAAGCCTAGGAAACCGTTGAAACCTTCCAGGTACCTAGGCAAAACCCCTTCCCAGGCCTACATGGCCAGCAGCCAACGTGAAAGGAGTGTGGATAATTGTGTAAATGAGCCGCTGTTGCAATCGGTACCGGGCATCCTTCTGGTGTGTGTGTGTATAAATGTATGTATAAATAATTTTGTATGTACATATATACATATAGACAAAGGGTGGGGCAAAAGTAGGTTTACAGTTGTTTGGAAAATAATACAATCATTAATAAATAATAATATAAGAATAAACTCTGTGTTTCACATACTCACAACTGTAAACCTACTTTTGTCCCACCCTGTATATAGGATTGGCTTAAATCAAATTAGGTAGTTATAGGCAGATTTTGAACTGCCTGGGAGGTGGGTGCCCCCAACCCTCCCACACATTGTTCAAGGGTCAACTGTACATATTTATTTTTGTTAATCCTTACCTGAGGATATTTTTCCATAGATTCGATTCTTTCTAGATAGAGTGGGAGGGAGGGAGGAAGGGAAGGAGAGAGAGAGAGAAAGAGACAGAAAGAAACATGTAAGTGAGAGAGACACATTGACTGGTTGCCTTCTGTAGGACCCTGACAGGGGCCAGAGATTGAACCTGCAACTCAGGTACCCAGGTACATGCCCTGGACTGGGAATTGAACCTGAGACCCCTCGTTTCCAGGGCCGACACTCTAACTGCTGAGCCAAACCGGCCAGGGCTGTACATATTTTTTAAGTCTATCTTGAATTAAAAGAAAAATCTAAATGGGATAAGAAGAAAAGACACAAAATATTCAAAGTATTTCCTAAGCAGCTGATAGTGTGTTTTAGTGTCAGATTTAGCAAAAGGAAATACAGTCAGCCCACTTACATTGGAATTTCAGGTACACGACAAATAATGGTTTTTTGTTTGTTTGTTTGTTTTTATCCTCACCCAAGGACATTGTTCCATTTTTTGTTCAGGTAGAGTGGGAGGGAGAGAGAGGAACAGAGAGAGGGGGGGGGGAGAGAGAGAGAGAGAGAGAGAGAGAGAGAGAGAAACATCGACGTTAAAGGGACACATCCAGTGGCTGCCATCCTCACGACCAACCAGGGCCCCAGGGCTGGGGACAAACTGCAACCGAGGTACATGCCCTTAGCGGGAACTGAACCTGGGTCTCTCGGGACTGCAGGCCGATGCTCCAACCGCTGAGCCAAACTGGCCAGGGCCAAATAATGTTTTAGTATAAATATGTCCCATACAATAATAATGAAGCAAGATATTTGCATGGCTTTTCCCCTTAGTTCATTCTGTTCTCTGCTTATCGTTTTTTCAGAGAGGCAGTTCCAACCACACTATCTGCAATAGCACCTCATCATTCTCTATCCCTTTACACTGTTTATTTTTCTTCAAAACACTCAATACTATCTGATGTTATATGTTTAGGTAATATGTATACAATATGTTTATTGTATGTCTCTCCCCTTAGAATCTAAGTTTCATGAAGACTGAGACTTCATTTTGATGATGACTGTATCCACAGTGCCTAGGACATTGTCTGGCACAGAGTAGGTACTAAATGATATGTATTTAATGAAAAAACGAATTGGTTTTTATTGTGTCAGTGTTTATAGTAATTTCATTATGTCACATATTCATAATTAACCTTGCTGTTTGGTATTAGTCCTCCATTTAAATAGATTGGCTCACTGCAAAATGTCCATTCTTAATTCTTTATTTTGACTCATTTCTTATTTGCTTTAATATTATCAAGTAATTTTTTTTTTACAAAAGACTCATAGGTATTATAGTCCCTCATTTTTTTTTCATATTTGAAATATGAAACCTGGTGCTTGTTTGGATAGATTGTATTATTGTTAGCAATTATCTACTCCTTCTTTCCCAGAGGGTTATATATCTCTATCCAATTGACTTTGTAAAGTTTTAAGAAGAAAAGGAGAATACACAATATCAAGTCACTTAAAGACAAAATTGTTGGTATTAAGCAGAAAAGAGGATAGTGATGAAACACACACACACATTTAGCACTTGCTGGGTTCCAGACACTCATTCATTCAACATTAAGTAATCATATCTGTCTACCATTTATTGGGTCAAGACAGGCTTCACAAATAAGTTAGTACCTGAGTTGTGTCTGTCCGGAAGACCAGGCACTTGCCAAATAACAGGAGAGGTAAAGTGTGGATACAAAAGGAATGGTTATTCCAAGCTCAGGCTTCTAGGTACAGACATGGAAGGAGTAAATAGCATATCATATTTTAGAAACTGTAAGCCATTTGACACTATATATAGTTAATTTATTTAATCCTCAAAACAACTCTCTGGGAAAGTATTATTATCCTTATTTTACAGATAAAGAATCAGGCCCAAAGTTATACAGCTATTAAGTGGCAGTACCAGAATCCCAGCCCACTAACATCTGCTCCTCAAGTCTTTTTTTTTTTCCCACTGTATCCTACTGGGTAATGTACCAGTGTCATAACAAGGTTTGAAGGAGGCACATTTCACACAAGAGTGTGAATACCCAATCATCACACTTATGAACTATGAAAGGATCATGGTTTGTGTAGCGAGCTTACTAAATCTGTGAAGCTAAGCATAACTTATAGGAAGGGCTCTTGGACTGAATCAATGTCATTTTTTTCTTCTATTGTAATAAATTAATACATATTAAGTACCCATAGGATTCTTGGCATTTTAATATAGGAGAGGACAGGTGCTGCCCTCTTGGAATTCATAATCAAGTTCAAACAAGGCAAGCAAACACTGACCCATGATTATAAAACCGAACTGATTCCACTATTAGCCAATCAAAAACCTTTCTAGAATGTGAAACAATTGGTACCTCCAAATCCATTTGACATAAGTTCTTCTCTTTAAAATCTACTGAGTTTGAAGTAGGGTTAAGCCTGCAGATAGAAAGAAAGTAAAAGGTGAAATAATTTGTTGAGAAACAGAAAATTAATAAAACTTTCCAACGATCTTGTCCCAAAGGCAAATATTAAGGCCACTTAAGTTTCTTGGTCTGCTCGGCTTTCCTACAAAAAATTCATTTCCTAACCATTGGATCCACTTTAATTATAACTAACTTTTTAATTTTGGTTTAGTTTTTGCTGAGTTAGGGGGTGACAGACATGGACAGAAGGGAAGAGAAGATTTCTTGTGCTTTGAATTAATAGATTTTCATCATAACTCAGTTGAGGTTCCACACATTTAAAACCCTTTCATGAAAGGGACAAAAAAGCAAGACAATCCTGTGGGCAGCCTTGGTGCTGTTCATGCTGGTGCAAAATAAGTTGTATTTACTGAGAAGTAACCAACAAACATTTGATATCAAGCATGGCAGCTACTGCCACTGTGATCTGTATTTCAAAGTTGTCTCATTTTAGTTTTAGCTTAGCTACTAAAAGGTAAATAGATCCTAAACTTTCAAGATGTACTTTGTCCTGATACCACATGATTTCACTTATGTGTGGTATCTAAAGAACAAAATAAATGAACAACCAAAATTGAAACAGATTTATAGGCAGAGGGTTGCTAGAGTGGAGGTGGGTTGGGGGACTGGGTGAAAGAGGTGAAGGGATTAAGAAGTACAAATTGGCAGTTACAAAATAGTTATGGGGATATAAAATACAGCATAGGGGATATAGTCAATAATATTGCCATAACTATGTATGGTCCCAGGTGGGTCCTAGAAATATCAGGGGAACATTTTGTAAAGTATATGATTGTCAACCACTATGCTGTACACTTAAAACCAATACAAAATAACATTGACTGTAAACTGTAATTGAAAAAATAAAATTTAAAGTTCTTTTAGTGAATGGGATGATAAAGTTCTTTTAAAAAGATGTACTTTGGCCTATTTTCTAAATTTTTTTTGCTACTAAATTTTGTGGGAGAATGACTCAAAAAATGGTCATTAATCTGTTAACTGTTTTAGTTAAGTACTCAGTTGCCAGGAAAATACTACCATCTGCTTTAGTTGCTTTTACAACAGCATACTCCTATTTCCCATGAAATATATTTATATTAAACAATGAAACTTTCATAGTTTTACATCCTAATTAATAAAAAAAATCAGTGATATAATAATTCCCACATAGTTTGTTTTTCCACAATATAAAATCTTGGAGAAGAAACTAAGTAATGTGTGAATTTCTTATTTCAATGTGAAAATACAAGTGTATTACACTATTTTGATATTTTACAATGTGGCTTTACATTATTGAGGAGAATGTAGAATAGATTGGGGATGGATAGATGGTGATATCTTTGATTTCATGTTGAAGAAAATTAGATATAGTTAGATCTATTTTATCCAGATGGACATTTTCAGTGATGGTTTTTGTAGGAAAGAAGCACAGGGATTCCTACTGAAAGGAAAATAGGTTCAAATTCAAGTTTTGGAAAACAAATGCAATATTATCCTATACATATTTTTAAAAAGAAAATAATACCCATGAATCCTTCCATTGTCAAAGAAAAAAGCTACTATTTTGGTTCCTTAGTTGAATATGACCATTAACCAACCTAAAGGGAAATATTTTGCTCTCCAAACACCGATTCTGTTGCTTCATTTTTTTCATGGTACTCAGTTGGAAGTGTATTACCAGAAGATTTAAAAAAAATCACAACTCATTTATTCATTCATTAAACAATTATTGAACACCTACTATGCGTCTGACACTAAAGTCCTCTGAGGAGGAAATGCTATGTAAATAAAAATAATAAATTAATAATGCAATTGTTAATATTATCCATCATTCAAGATACTGCTCAAATGTTAACATTCAGTTTGCTACTCCCTTCTTTGTGTTCTATACCTTGTCCATGTTTGGGTGTCTATCTACAGAGCTCTTTGAAAAGGTAGAGACCTTGGCTTACTCAGAACCTAGCATAAGATTTGGTACAGATCAAACAAGGTGATCAGTAAACGACAGTTGAAAGAAGGAATTAACATAGTACTGGATCATTTAACAGTCAATTAAGAAGATAGTACTTGTCCAGTCACTAGATTTCTATCTTAAAAACAGTTACTATAATGTAGTTGTTATCCCAGAACTTGAATTATCATAAACTGATTAAATCTACTTTATTTTATTTATTCAGATTGTATTTCAAGGTGGCTTATCATCTAAGGGTAATAAAGCAGTTCCAGACTTGCAAAAGAAATGAAACCCGGATAGCCTCTTAAAGTTATGCCCTAGATGCTTACACTGAATTTAGATGAAAGCGTCTAGCTTCCCGTGCATCCCTACCACTTGTGAGTGCATTACCCGATCTTTCCCTTTCCTTTTTCCCACCCTTTTGCCCTCGGGAAAGGGCCGAATATTCCAAGAGCTGCCCACTCTTCCTCCTGTCTCCTTACGGAAAGAGCCGAAGGCTCAGTGAGGTGCCGAAGCAGACCCGTCTGGAGCTGGGGCCCTTCCGGAAAGACTCGAAGTGCGCTCGGAGGTGGAAGGCGCCTTCGACTTGAGCGCTTCGCCCACGCGCTGTGCCCTCTGTCGGCGGCGTGGGGCAGTGGTTGCGGCAGTGGCGGCGGTGGCGGCGGGAGGCGGCAGCCGCGTCGACGTCGCCCAAGACTGGAGCGACGTTTAAAGAAGGAGCTGAATCGCCGCGGAGTCCGGCCTCTTGTTGTTGGAGGACTCCCACCCTTCGGCGCGGCCTGACGAAGAGAAGCGGCGGCGCGGGAAAGCAGGTACGGCCCCGGCCCCGACCCGGGAGCGGCGGGGGGCGCGCTGCTTCCTCCGTCCCTGGGCCGCGCCTGCGTCTGCCTTCTCCTCACTTGAACCAGGAAGCGGCCGAGTTGGAGGCTTCGCCCCTCCGGCCCTTTCTTTGTGTGGGCCCGGGAGTGAAGGAGGGGGCCAACCGGGAAGGCCGCGGTGGAGTCCCCTTCGCCGTCAGGGGCCCCGGGACTGCCAGTGCCCTGGGTAGGCCCGGAGCGTGGGAAGCCCTCCACAGAGACCCACTTGGCTTTTTCCTTGCCCCTCTCCCTGCCTTTTTGTGTTTCTTTTTTCTCCTCCTCTTCCCTACTTTGATTTAGAGCCATTCTCCCAGGCCCATCCTCCCCTTTCGTCCCCATCCCGGGGCATAACAATGCCGCCTGCTCGACCCCATCCCCTCCCCTCCCAGCACCCCCACCCTCCTCTTCGCCACCTTCTACTTTCCCCAGCTGGCCTTATTAACCTCCGCCCTCACCGTGCTGCTACTACCTCCATCTGTGTTTGCAAGAAGCCGCCGTTTTGCGTGAAATGGGGTTAAAAACCTCGGCTGCAGCCGGCTGGGTGCAAATGTGGAAGAGAAGGTGGAGGAATGAAGATGGGGTTCAGCTGCCGCAGGGAGCCGCGTGTTGGTTTGTTTCACTCCCTCTCGGTTGGCGTTTCTCGCTTTTCCACCATCACCTGCCCCCCCAGTCAAGGATTTCTCTCCCAGTGATTCGGAATGGCTTTTCCAGAGTCAGGTCGCAAATCTTGGGGTGGGTTCAGACCGATTTGTGCAGTATCTGGGCCCACCCTAACGGGGAGAAGAAGGAAACCTAAACAAAATGAAACCAAGTCCAGTGCCACCGGGACACGTCCATTTAACGCATTCTTCTATTGGAAAAATCCTTTTGCAAATGACAAAAATTGTGGGCTCGTATTCAGAAAACCCATATATCCATTGAAAAGTGACTTCTTTCGAAATCCCCATATTTCAGAAGCCCTGGTTGCTGGCTCGCTGTCCAAAGGTCACCCTTTCAGATGAATGCCTTTATAGTAACCTAGAATTTCTTGGTACTGTTAATAAGCAATGCCGTATTACTGATGATGATTTAAGTCCTTGATCTGTAGACTTTTCACCTACTTTTTATTTTTAAGCTATAATTTTGAAATATTGAGAAGATATTTGAGGTGCCTTGCCTTCCACGTGTATATGACTTAAGCACTGTAACAGCGGTACTGTTTTGGTAACTCTAAAGGGAAAGAATATTAGCAATAAAAGCATTTCTTTACCAAAATCACTTGTCAGCTAATTCTTTAACAACTCAGATCACTGTTACTGGAAATATCTATTGAGAAGTGCAAAAAATGTTTGGGGGTGGTACATAGCAAGGCTGTTTACTGACATCACCCCTATTTTTTTCTAGACTAATGTCTGCACTGTTCCAGTAACTTTGTTTTCATTTTTATTAACTCGTTTGATGTGAAAAAAGTTCTCATATCAATGCAAATAATTCTTTACCAACAAAATGTTTTCATGCAAATAAGCATTAAGAAATGGTGAAGTTTCCTTTTCCTTTGTATTACTTTTTATAGTAGCATCTATTGACTTCATTGAACACTCTTTAACATTCCACCTCTGGAGATTGTAAGAGTAGAGAGGTGAGGGGAAGGAGAAAGAGAATGAAGAAAGAAGAGGAAAGAATGGTGTTTAATGCTTTATCCTGATGAGGCATTGCAATTTAAATAAAAAGAAAAATAATGGGAAGTTTAGAGGTAATAATTGTCAGTGCTTATAAATGTGGATTCAGTCTTTGGCTGGAGAGAGTAGCTTTTGAATATGTTCTTAAAGAT